CATTTCCTGCACAAACACCGAGGGCTCATGATTATCGTCCTTTTGAAGCTCACGAACCACATTTCTTGGTATTGATTTTGCCAGGTGCCACTTTACACGAGAAGACAACCACAATGCTGTCTCCGGCTCAGCCTGGATCTTCTCTCGTCTCTTGTGCAGTGCAGTGGAAGGCCCAAAACGTGATGTGCGACCGTGACGTGTGCGACTGCTGACGAAGAAGTGGAGCTTCTTGTTCTTCTTCTTGCGGAAATGCTGTTGAAGTACTGAAAGCATGAAGGACCATGAAGATGGGTGGCCATCGCAGTTGTAGTACCGTAGAAGCAAGGAGTCCATCATGGATGCAGTCCCCGGAGAACGTCCCACAGCGGCCTTTTTCTCCAGGTACCGAAGTGTACTTGCGGCTCGTTCGCACGCCGCTTCAGCATCAAAGGTCCAGACCACGAAGCGATGATAGAGCCTGAGGATGTGCCAAAAGGGTTTGGCGACCTCGTACATCAGGCAGAGCATGAGACTATGAAGATGCTTGTCCCAATCCTCCCAACTTTTGCCCATATCCCGCACTTTTTTGGTCTTGGCCACCCTCTGCACAACCTGTCTGAAGGAAACGTATTGTGTCCAGAGTTCATCTGTCGTCGGCGATTGGAAAATTTCTTCCGGCAAATTCTTCCACTGAGCTCCTGCCACTTGCTCGTCAGTCAAGCTCCAGAGCAGTGGGCCAAATGCCACAAGCAGTTTATGCAGTGCACATCGGACCATCGATTCATCCATACTATCAGAAAGGAGCCAAGTTGCCAAAAAAACCGTTGCTCCACAAGCCAGAAGACTGCTGCGTTCGCCAGGGTTGCAGCCGTTGCTGAGGCTTTTACCTGATACTAAGCACCGCCAGTCCGAGTCTTGCAATTGCCAAGAGGGTACAGAAAGCGAACTGGAATTTGTGGGCACAGGAAGATTTTCTATTGACAATGACAGCGGTGTCTGAGACGTCTTCGAAGTCTCCTCCTGCTTAGTTGCCCATGCAGATATCTCCTCTTCGAGTACTTGTGCCTCCGAAGCTGTCAGCTTGGAAGCTTTCGCATCTTTCTTTTCAGTGACCGGGACCGACTCATCGACGGGGACCGAAGCAACCTCGTCGGCCTCGTCGTCAGAGCCAGAACTAGAGCTTGAACTGCTACTGCTGTCGCTGCTGCTTCTGCTGGACGAGTCGTCGTCCAAGCCGGCCATGTGCTCTTCGTGCAAGCCTTGCTGCTCTTGTTCCAAAGCCTTGGAAGTCAAAGCCAGTTGTGGCTCTGCATCTGGAAAAAGTACCCGAGCAGCAAAAAAATGGGCCTCCCGTATGGCCCACTTTTGGAAGCGGCCGAACATGGAAGAGGCGGAATCCAGGATGAACCGGCGTGTTGCTGCCTGAACAAGGCTTCGTAAGAAAAAACCAAGGAGAGTAAGCTTGCCCGAGCCCTTGTTTCGAAATTTGTTCGTAGGGAAACTTTAATTATTCTATATTATTTCCCGGAGAAATCATACAGCTTCCGATCCTGCTTGTCGTGAAGGGGCTTTGTTCCGGGCTCGGCCCAGGGGCTGTTCTCCTTCGGTTTGATGCCCAAAGAAACACCCCGGATCTCAGCTTTGAACATGAGCTCAGTGAGCATAGAGATTGACAGTGGATAGGAGCGCCATGCCAGGTGCAGCATCTTCAAGCCAATCAGCATGTTCCGACTTGTGCCCAAATACTGGCCCATCGTCTCCCACACCGTCAGAAGCGTCTTGAGGTCGGACATGACAAGTTGGTCTGACTTCATGAGTTGCCATGTGTGGAAGGCTGCCAGATGTTTCACATGGCCCACCTTTGTCGCCTCCTGGCCTCGGAAAGCAACGCTGAGTAGATGTCTTTTCCTGTGTTCGAAATGAAGTGTCGTGAAAAGAAGGAGGCCAGGGTCCAACAGGCTCTGGATGAAGGAGCGTGCGGCCTTGGTGTCCTCAGCATAAGAACAGTCAAGATCATGGTGGTCGCAAACTTTGTCACACATTGCAGGCAACATTACAAGCATAAGGCAGACATTGGATGAACTGGGAATGTGAAGTTCCGGGTCCTGTGTCTTGAGGCCACAGAGTTTGCCTGGACGTTCTGCTTTCCGTCGGGCGTTCTCGATGGACTCCGTCATGCTGAATATACCGCCCGCCGCGAGCACCGGCAAGTTGACAATGAGGTTCTGACAAGGACTGGAGCTTAGAAACTAACCTCCCCTAAAACAAAAACAGAATCGAAGCCCCTTACAGCCTTACAGTAATCCTCAAAACATGAAATCCCCACGCCATGAAGCGAAGACCCTGAAACCCTAGCAGCATCCAGCTCCTTGGGCACACGGGACGATACGTAGGTCACCGTTCTCGTGCTCGAGGAAACGGGTGCCAGTAGCGCGACTAAGGGCAGCTGGAGTTTCGCAGCGAGTGCCTCAGCTGCATGCTGCAAATTGAAATAGCTTGAACTTGACCCATGAACATCTTATAGTCTTCTGGGATAACTGGAAAATAGCCTCCTACATCACAACCCTTATCCTTGAACTCTGTGAAGTATCTTGAACCTCAGCTTGGAACGCCATATTGGATTGTATAACTATATGCTATATTCTGATAGATGCAGCCACAGCTCTCGGAGGATGATTCGCCCTTGACCGATCTGGAATAATCGGCGGGCGGTCAAACTCACGTTGCGCAGGTGCCACAAGTAACCATTCGTCTGCAGCTCTGAATGGTCACTGTGAGCACCTGCCTTCTCGCAGGCATGAAACGTGTCCAGGGCACCCCACGCCCGAAGACCGCCCCGCTGTGCAATGCCCAGCTGCTCGGCAAACATGTTGCCGGCATTGCACCCAAAAGGCCCCTCGATGAGCCCGTCCCCGCAATGTACCGCAAATCTAAGTGCCATGTCTGGCTCTCGGACTCCAAAGCGGCCAGCGACGAGGAGGAGATTCTGCACCAGCTTCGGCCCGGAGTGCAGGTCGACGAAGAGCCTCTTTTTGGCACTGGCTGGCTCTGGTGCTCTCAACTCCACCAGCTCTTGCAAAGTCAGGTTTTCATCGAGCTCCTGCACTGGCGCCGGTGCAACACGAGGAAGGGCACCCAGGTCCGGCCTCAGCGAAGCCCCGTCAAGCAGCGCGATTACAGGCTCCCCACTGCTGTCAAAACTGTAGCTCATCACCACCTGGATCGATTCTCCTACCCGGGTTGTCACCCCATCTGATGTGAGCGCAACATCAGAAGGCATGTTAAGCGCTCTGAGTGTCTGCTGCAGGCCGGCGGCCAGATGGGCCTTCGCTGCTTTGGCACTCTCCTTGACAATGGCAGTTGCGAATGACATTGAATGTTGCAGCTCGCCGAACTCTCCAGGCAAGTACGAGTCCAAAAGATCGACCAATTCAGGATAGGCGTGCAGGGATCCCAACGAGCTCAGCTTCAGACTAAGGCACGCAAGTCGTAAGCCCACGAGCTGCTGCCGCGATTCAGCGTCACACAGCGAAGCCAAGCCTTTGTACGGGCATTGACAATGACGCCTTGTCGTATTCTGCCAATACTCCGTCGGTGCAACAATCTCGCGCAGCTCGGTTGTGCTTGGTGCCGCAGCACTCCCGGATGCTGGTTGAAACTCGGACTCCTCCATTGCAGTCGCCACTTCTTGAACTAGTGACAATGACGCCGGCGGCTCCTCTGGCGGCGCCTTGCGCTTGCGACCGGCACCACCTGGATGAGGAGCCGGTGCCCATCCCGACTGCTCCAGAGTCTTCAGTCTCTTCTCCACACATCCCCTGCTCAAACCTGTGCATTTCGCGAGAAAGCCTGCCATCCTCGTAGAAGCGTTCCACCCCAAAGTCTTGAGGACCTCCTTCAAACACGGCTTGAACGTCTCAGACAGTGCAACCAGAATGGCCTGGGCCTGCACTCCCAGCTCGCCACCGCCTCCCCTCTGGGTTGGGACCACCCTGGCAGAAACAGGAGCAGCAAGATCTATGTGCGGCAAGTCTGGTAGCCCAGTGCCAGAGCCCAAGGACAGTGGCAGTTCCGGCAATTCTGGCAGACGGGCCATGGTCAGTGACAGTGGCAAGTCCGGTAGTTCTGCCCAAGCGCTGCCAGTGCAGTTTCCAAAGATATTGGCAGGGCAGCCTGGGTCCCACAAACTGCTGAGCTTTCAAAGAAATTACCAGGCAACGGCTTCTGCCTGTGTCCCAGACTCCTCTACCAAGAGAGTGTCCACCGTCCACCGCTGACACACCATCCACTGCTGAAGCAGTGAGAAATCACGTGCTGCACTGATACCGTCTGCAATAATGTTAGTACAGTAAAGTAAAGTACAATATGGCAGATATGGCATGGTTTAGGATTTTTGGATTTAGGGCTAACCGTGGGATTGGAAAATCTTCAGTTTTAAGCGTTATGCAGTATTAACTATTATCCAACTCTTTGGGAGGGTTTGGGGCTGGAACTGGTAACCTGTGTCTGTCACGATAGTAACCGGTGACCTCCACTTAACTCAATCAGAATTCAACCTTCTAGGGTGAAACTTCCACCGTAGCTGTCGAGGACCCACTCTAAAGCAGCTTTTGGAGCTGTGTGTACAACTAAGTTCAAGCAAGTGTTCTGAAGGATGGTGCTCAGCAGGACAATTGGTATGCTGTCCCAGACTGTCCCATAAGCATAAGCCACAAGAGCTGCACATAGCCGATGTAATGAACCCTTCACTTCACCAGGGGACCTTTTCGGGACCGGTTTGTGGAACCAAGCATCGTAACCACACCAACCACCGTACCTATGCCAGGGACTCAATAATCCCAAGTGCCTGACGTCATTGCAAGGTTCACTGGAGGTGTAGGGGTTTCAGGACCAAAGAATGTCCGAAATAGAAACGACACACCCCGCACGGCGGCAGACACACGCACTGCCTAATTGTTCAAGCCTCTGTTA